GTACTTGCTTAAATTTGTTATCGTTAACATGCAAAATATGTAATTTTACTTATTTACCTTACGGAATCTTACTGGTGTGTTAATTTCATTTTTTTAATAATAATCTGTGAACCGAGAGCTAATTTGTTGAAAGTACTATATTACCAATATTAAAAGATTGTTTTGTCATAAGTTATGTAGTGAATTCCTGTGCATAGTATGAATAAATTGCTTTAAACGTCTTTGAGCAAATTGTCTAAATACAGGGTTCACATCTAGTTCCATGGGTCACTTAGTATTTAGACTATTCATTGATACATTTCATGATGATATTCTTAATTATTCTAAAGCATATTTAACAAAATAAAAGAAAGCGCTGAAATGGAAATAGCTTTGGATAAAGTATTTTAAGTTATATCGAGTGCTTGTACAGATGTTGGATAAGAAATATACATTGTAAATTAACTATCAGCATTTAAGTTTTATTTACATTTTGAACATATTTTCAAATATTTCCACCTAATATGAACATTTCTATTTTGATTTTAAATACATAATTTGTAGCAAACATTACTTTATTCCTTCAGTTTTTTTTACTCTATATAATAAAGCTAATATATTTCATACAAGATGTTCCAGATTTACCGTTGTCAAAACGCGACATAACAATGACCTGCTTGTTATTTGATATCGCATACAGGGTATTCCAGTTTCGTCCGTGAAAGTTTACACAAACATTGCATATTCTATAAATAAAAATAAAAAATGTTGATATGGACATAGGTTTTTGAATGCATATTAAAAGTTATTAAAAAAAAATTTTATAATCAACTATTACTCGTACGTAATATCAGGAGAAAGTTGTCCATTAGTATTTTATATATTCCTCATAATGTTTCGATAAATCATTTAAAGCCTATGTTTATATAACATTTTTAACCATCCTTATTTATAGAACATGTTGGTAAGCTTTTAGGTACAAAACGGGATCATACTGTATGAGGCAAAGAAAAACAATGCAGTCGAAGTCATTTTGTATTTTTATTATAACTTTTTAATGAAGTGTTACAAAATTTTTGTTAATATACCATCATTTTCTTAGTTTTGCGTATGAAATATACTAACAAAGTTTGGCGGTAAAATATTGGAACATCTTATACATATCTAACAAGGGACATCACGCAACTGATACACGCCGATTTTGATGAAATTTTTATATGTTATAGAACTCGAAAAAATATTTGACACGTATTTTTTTAAAGTTGGGGTTGAAAAAACTATTTTCGGAAATATCTCGGGAACTATTAGGCCTAGACAAAAAATTCAAAGTGCAAATTTTTCTGTTTCTAAAGGCCAATAATATGGCGTCAGTGGATTTTTGAAAAATTTATTTGTTTAAAAAATATGTTAAAAATTAACATTGTTTTGCAAATTTTTTTAATAAAACGTTGTTCCATCTTGATCAAATTTCACATACGTAAACTATGAGTCCAAAGAAAAAATACGGATGAATTGGAATTTTTAATTTCGCTTGTGGAAAAAATATTACTGTCATTGAAGTTATGCGTACGTTTCATACCTTCCGTTCGGTGCACGACTGATTTCTGTACGTAGTATTCAGACAATTGCATTATATTATACTTTTTTATAATCTGTTCATTGGGTATGTGCCTTTATAAAACATGGGACCCGAGGTAGCTATCCCGATTGCGCTGCGCTACTGGTGGTGGTATTGGATGTACGCAAGATCTAAACGTATAACTGTACATGCATAAATTGTAATAACTTTATGATTAATTTATATTATGCAATTAAAGGATTGTATTTGTTCATTGAGAACTGTTCCTCGTTTTTGAAAAATATAGTAGCTCTGAAAAGAGCTGATTTTTCTAAAGCTCTGAAAAGAGCTGTTTTTTTTAAAGCTCTGAAAAGAGCTAATTCTGGGTGATTTTTATTTTGGAGTGGTCTTCTAAACTATTATAAATGTAAAAAATGTAATGTAGTTATGTATTTTACTTTTATGTATCTTTTATGTAACAGTAGTGTTTTTTGGAATAGTTAAAACTGTTTGTTTGATGGCGTAATATTTGTTATAAAATTTTGGTCGTATTCTGTCCATGAGTCCAGTAATAAAATGCTGTTTTCTGGTGAATTTGGAAAATACACTGTTTCTAACCATTGTCTGAAAAGATCTTTGTTTAATTTGCCTGATGTTGATACTCGAATTTGCCTGATGCTGATACTCCGATAATAACATTAGGTGCCGTAAATATACTACTTCTTACTCGTGGTCCTAATTGACCACTTGCTTCTTTTAAAACGACAAACAGAGGAGACAAAAGTTGGCCATCAGCTGATATGGTTGGTTGTATGGTATAAGAATGCGTTAAAGCAGATGAGGACTTTATAGCTGATAATGTATGTCTTTCACCTCTCCATGAAAGCGTTCTTCCAGAGTGCATTTTAAGTTAAAATCCACTTTAGTCGGAATTGAAAATATTCATTGCGCCATGACTACGAAAATATTGAGATAGGCTGGAAATAAATTCATTTGCTCGCGTGTTTATTTTGGACAAATTATCAGAATAATTTCCAGTGATGAATTTCGTAGTCTTTCTCGATACAACATTATTACTACGCTTAAATTTCCATAACCACATATGTGATGCTTGAAATGCTTCAAAACTCAACTTTTGTTTCTCCTGTAATGCCCAATGTCTTAAATCAATATCATGTACTATTACATTTCTATTACGCGCTAAAACAAATTTTTCTAATACAATATTACCAATATCACGAAGTTTATCAAGTCGCGACCCACCGCTACTAATTTGCTGTTCCCACCTATACGGGGTGTGAAACGATTTACTAGCCAGCTCTTTTCTCGTAAATGACTGGTACTAGAAAAAAATGAAAGAGGAAAAAGTGATAGTGTTTTTTATAATCAACATAATGAAGTATGTATTTTTTTCGTGCTTATACTATTTTTTAAGATATCAAGCTAACCTTCAGTTTTTTTAATGGAATGGTATATATTTTTTTATATCATATGAAAGAGCGTATCGAAACGAATTCAACGATGTATTATATCATGACCTTGAAATCCATTCCGAGTCAAAAGCAAACGATATGTTTACATTTCGTGTTCAATGTGGTTTCTATTAGCTAGAAAGCACTTTTGGTGGTTTTATGTTATGATTAGGTCATGATAATAGTGTTATGATAATGGACGAAGATTCACTTACTTCTACAGGTGACGATGATACACTTATATCTGGCTCATGTGGATCGCATGATGGAAATTTATCTTCATCTACGTTATATTCAAACAATAATTCTTGTTCGGTTTCAATTTCTGCATAACCAGCTAGTGCATATCGGTTAATTAAGTCCGTAATGGCATGAGCTAAATCAATTTCTTTGGCGTTTACAGGTGTACGCTAAACTGTATCTTCATAATTATAGGAATCTATTAAAATGCTTATGATATTAGCTGGATTTACTTTCATAGCGATACAGTTAATCGATTAAATGAAAAATAAAAAAGATGTAACTATAAACCGTTTAAAACTAAATGAACTTATAACACTACTAGTTGATTTGGAAATCGTTCTAGCCTTGTGGATGTATATGAATCACTTAACACTTAATTTGGAGTAATTAATAGCACTCGAAAGACCACTCCGCAACAAAAATCACAACTATACACAATCGTCCAGCACACTTATTGCGATTCTGTACTCCGTTAGCAGTTAACTGTTCAATGGTTCAATTTGTTCTGAAATCTCTTGAAAATAATATTTTACAGATCATCTTAACAGTAATATGTTGAAGGGATAAAATGCATGGATTGGCTGATCACTTTTGTAACAATCTTTGGAAAGGGAAACTGTCGATTTACCTGACAGGTCAAAAACGTTAAGAAAAAGTAAAGGAAATAGTAATTGTCCAGAAGACAGCGGTAATTAGCTTTCAGGTATAAGGTGTATCCTTTAGCGACGGAAATGGACAATCCCGTGCGCAATAAAGAATAACCGTAGTAATTGAAAAGGCACCTTGAACGTAATGAAAAAATGTGAAAATAAATCGACATATAACGATAAATGCTAATCCCCGACAAACGGTTGCGAACAATAAACTTAAAAATTCTTCAGCACTAAAAAGTTAAATTACTATGCTTGGTGGTATCATAAAGTAATAAAAAATGGTGATACAGAGCGGAATCCTAATCACGCTTTTAAAGTCACCGCGCCACGTACAATCATAAGCGCGCATCGGTCCTTCGAACAATGAATACCATTATACGGAACATACTTACCTGTGTTGTTAACCGTTGTCAATGAACAGATTATAAAAAAGTATAATATAATACAATTGTCTGAATACTACGTACAGAAATCAGTCGTGCACCGAACGGAAGGTATGAAACGTACGCATAACTTCAATGACAGTAATATTTTTTCCACAAGCGAAATTAAAAATTCCAATTCATCCGTATTTTTTCTTTGGACTCATAGTTTATGTATGCGAAATTTTATCAAGATGGAACAACGTTTTATTAAAAAAATTTGCAAAATAATGTTAATTTTTAACATATTTTTTAAACAAATAAATTTTTCAAAAATCCACTGACGCCATATTATTGGCCTTTAGAAACAGAAAAATTTTTACTTTGAATTTTTTGTCTAGGCCTAATAGTTCCCGAGATATTTGCGAAAATAGTTTTTTCAACCCCAACTTTATGGGTTATTTTCACCACTTCAGAGTGGATGTTTGCCAATAAAAGAAATACGTGTCAAATATTTTTTCGAGTTCTATAACATATAAAAATTTCATAAAAATCGGCGTGTATCAGTTGGGTGATGTCCCTTGTAAGAAATACGTCTTAAAAATATTTAACACTGGTAATATATCTTAAAATAAAATGGTAGCCCATATTTAGACGACTTTTCTGTGTATTCAATAAGTATTCCATAAGTATTTTAAAATGTACGATTATATTTTAATCGACGAAATGACAGAAAATGAAGATGGCTCGGCGAAGTTTGCCATCGATGCTTTACGTCCCTGATATCTTAGCTTGGTGGGATTTAGTGGATGAGGCAGCACGTGCTGTTTTTACGTCTCTGATGCAAGGATTGGATCGATCGGTATACATGTTAATTTTGACCACGGCAAACTGTTCACGAGAAGACTTGCCACCAGATGTAAGAGAAATTTCCATTATTGTACCCGCTCGATAATTCTCTGTTATACAATAAACTGTGAGTAAAGCGTCGTATTCATGTTAGGTGTTCATATAAATATGCATGCAGTAGACTCCCATAGAACATGTTTAATACATAACATAATTCAATGAATTCGCGTTGTAGGAATTTGGGATGTATGAGATTTGGGAACTGAGAAGTTTGATAAATTGATATTTAAAAATTTAGAAATAGGAAAATTTGATAAACTGCAATTTCTTTGCTCGGAAGTTCATGTATTTGAATATCCATAAGTTTTTTCATGTGGTTTTTTATTTAGAAATTCGAGAACTTAAGCATGTAAGAAATTTGAAAATGCAAAAAAATAGAAAATTCGAAAATTCGAGAACTTCGAGAAATTAAATATTGTTAATTTTGAAATATGAGAAATTGGGAATTAAAAGATTAATTAAGTTTAATTTGAATTAATTAATTGGAAATTAAGTTTTATATGTTCTTGTCCAAAAAATGGCTATATTACACCCGAGTCAGCAACGAACAGATTCCGTTTAATGCACGCATTTTACAGTCCCAAAGGCAGGGAATTATGGAGCAGCTATAAATTTGTTCTGTTACTGTCAATAAGGCTATGTATTACTTGAGTGTGTTTAATTTTATTTAATTAATAGATCGCAAATTTATTCGACGAACATCAAGGCGAACTATTAGAAATAATATCTCCTGCAGAGCAACAGCGCGAACTATTTTTCAAACAGTTATTTGTTCATCCATCTGATGTGGAATCGAATCAATCTTCGCAAGGTATAACAACAATTTCTTATTATGTTCTGCTATCGTCCATATTTCAATTTAATCTCTTCAGGGATGACATATTTAAATTTGATAATGATTAAATTTTTTAATAAAAACGTATGTTTGACTCAGTTTGAATCTGTAATAATTATGTAAATAAATCCTAAAATAATTTATAACATACTAAAACCGTGGTAATATCTGCATATGTGATTTTTGATTCATGAATTTCAAAACAAACTAAATGTCCACATATTCGTAATTATTCTTGAAGGGGTTAAAAATGTATTTAACGCTTCATACGATTTCAAGCTTGTTCTGACCCAGAAGCGGGAATAAAATTTGCAAAATACAGATTGTTAATTAATTTTTAACAATCACATTTCATTGGAGTAACAAACCTGGCACACTAAGTCGTTCAAGACTCTAGCCACTAAAATTGTTTCTCACGAAGAAGCTACTTATTATTTTAATTCGAAAAAAATTATAAATAATCTTTGAAAGCTGTTTTAAAATATTTCATAGCTGATTTGTGAAAAAATTTCAGAAACGTGAAATAATTTAAAACAAAGACGTTATGTCATTTTCGTACTTACATATAGTTTACATACAGTTTTAAATATTAATAAAAATCATAATTTTATAATTTTAAGAAATGTAGCTTAAGTATTTCCTAAATATAATAGGAAGTAAGACTCAAAATATTATTTTCTGTTTATTTTTTTAATTAATTAAACATTTCTGAGCATCATTCGGTCCACGTGATGAAATAATGTGTAGTTGAATATTAAAAAGAAAATGGTTTCAGAAAACAAAATGAATTCTGAAACTTTTGTTGTTGAAACAATAGATTTGGAACAATTTGTGCCTCCAAAAAGAACTAGAGAATTAGGACGAAGAAGAAGAATGACTAATCGGACCGACCCTGTCGATAGTCCTGCGACACGTGAGTAATTACACTTTCTATTTACTGATACATTAGATGTGAGATAATTAGAGAATGTTTGTATAATATTATTACAACAAAAGAAGAGGTGTCAACGTCTCGGAGGAGCAAAGTGAAGAGCAAGATTTGCACCGTTCGATCTGCTCATTTGTTGGTCTCGAGATCAAGTAATAGTATTTCAATTCTATGAAATTTTAATATTATTTATTTTAATTGTGTCAGTTTAAGTGAACTGTTTTAGTTTATAATTTATATTATATTTTGAATATGTATTTATTTTATTTTGTGCAATGAAATATTTAATTTATGAATATTTGTAAATTAAGTTTTCACTTTTATTTTTTAAACATATTTAACAAAATTAGATTCGCGATTCTTACACATGGTTAGAACTAATTAGTATAGTAGCTCGGAACAGCAGATATTTTCATATTTACATTAACTAGGAAGCATTTATTAAATTAAATGTAAACTAAAACACTAACCTTAATAACATATATTAAAATTATGAAATAAAGGAAAATGTATTGATGCAAAAAAGCTTATATGGGAAATATAGCGATTTAAAGTAAGAAATTTAGAAGTCTTGGAAGTTGAGATTTAAAAATTTTGAAAAATTGGCGTTTTTGGATTTGGAAGTTTTGAAAATCTAAAATTTGGAGATTTGAAAATCTTCGACTTTATATATTAGAGATAAGTTATTAAAATTAGGGATTTGAAGATTTAGCAACTTCAGTTGGGAATTTGAAGATATGAAAATTTGAGAACATTTATCGAAAATATTCGAGAATATTCCAAGATCACTGGGTTTAGATTAGTTTCGAATTCATTTATACAATTTTTAATTATTAAATTTGATATTCGTTTCAAATAATAATGTTGATTTGTTTTTACAATCAAGCATTTCAGAATTTATAATTTTTTTCATCACTTATGTTTTTCACTTTTTTTATTTATTTACAAAAAATTGTAAAGAAAACTTTTTTTATAGAAGTCTGCTCTTTTTAAAAAGTACTTAATTTTATTAAAGAATGAAAGAGTCTGTTACACACATACGCATAGGCACTGTTAATATCTACTACTTTCAGTCATAACCTGCTCCTTATTTCATAAAATTCCATTTATAATTTGTGATATGCAAAATTATTTCGTCAAACGTAATAAAATAAATTGTCATTATTTTATTTTAAATAAGTTTTCATTATTAATTTCAGTGTACATCTGTATTCAATTAATAATACTGTCCGTAGAATTATTGATAACACAGTCATTCTGTGCTACTTTTACTAATGAATGTAATTTTTTGTTTTAAACTTTTTCAAATAAAAACACATAAACATCGGCAAATCATCTGCAAATAATAATATACCTATATTGTCAAAATGAAACTATCAAAATAAAAAATTAAAGTAAATTTTATGGTGTATCATTATTTTTTAAGTGATAGTAAAAGGGTTAAATGTAAGAGGAATTTATAATTTATAATAAATAGTAAAAATTATAAATAATGTAACAGTCATGATTACTTTTTTTGTTATTTGGTTTGATAAAAAGAATTACTTGTAAAATTAAATTGCATACAATTCTCTCAAATAAACGTTAACATACGATTGATGATAAGTACCTCCTTAATCGAGGCCACCATTTTTCGTAAAATATTTATCGTACCCAACACTTACTATACGTTATTATTTAATAAACCCTGTTTTATCTCAAAATTAATGAACATTCCGTTTTGTCTAGAAATTAATAATAATACTGTATTTGTCTAGAAATCAACGTTAAAAGAAAAGTCAGCGCTTCAGGTGAAGGACCACCGGCGAAACGTTGGAAAAATAAATCCCCAATAAATTTGTCCACGTCGAGCAACGAAAAATTGACCGATTCCCAAACGGAAGAATTGCTACGGAAAATTATTAGGATGACAGAAGGGTGGCCCTGTCATGATCTGGAAAGTCTGTTCGTCTCTCTCGAATTGACCTTGGAAAAAAACGAGGATGATATCCGCACAGGGGTGGAGAAGTGTTTGAAACATTTTACCGAACTGAGGAGAATAAAGGCACACGTGAAGAAAAGACAAGAAGAGGACGATTGAATTTCTGTTTCTGCTATGCAAGAAAAAAAATTGTATTCTGTTTGCTGTAAGTGACATGTCCTTTCACTGATACCTTACAATTATGTTAGAACATAATGTTCTAATTAAGTCAGTGTATTAATGATTTATAACATTGTCCACTTTGGTCCTTCATTCGAATGAATTTTTTGTACGTGCTACACATGTATTGTATATATGTTATACACTGTTGCTTTTTTTTATTAAAACAGCTTGTACCAAAAATGCAGTACATTTAATTTATTAATATCATGACGTAAAGTTATATTAACATATTCAGTCCCAAAGTAGTACGGATTGGGAACGATAAGGAAATCATTACCTTGCAGAATTGTGTATTATTACATTGTTGAGTCTGAAAGTGCTTGTTTACTGAAGTTTTGTTTAGAGAAGAGCAGAATATGTAAAAATATATTTTTGAATTTTATTCTGCACGATTTGAAATTTGTTTATATGCAGTTTATTTATTGACAGTTTTATTCAATCGATGTTATAAACATTTTATAGCAAATAGCTTGACAATATCCCTGGATGGCTGCGATGTTGTGGATGGTTTGCGATGTGTACGAGTAAAACCATGATCGCAAACTCTTGGCCATCCAGGATAAAAGTTGAACTAGTATAAAAGTTTAGAAAGACCATACCCCTTCTTTTACACAAGTCCTAATATACAAGGGGAAGTTAACGAGTAAAGGGACATTTGAGAAATTCTAATGATAGAAATGTGAAATATACTTTAATTTTTTACATAACCTCCCTGGACTTCAATGCACTTTTCCCAATGTTTCACAAGTTTTTTGATTCCGTCGGATAAAAAGTTTTTGAGTTGCACCTGTAACCAATTAAATCCCTTTACTTTTTGACTTCCCCTCGTATAAATGGAAACCGTCAAGAATTTTAATCTGTAGTTTTAGAAATTGTGTCTCCGTCACTCCGTGAGTCAATTTGTTGAAGTTGTATGTAAACGTGCAAGTTAGACTAAAGTTACTTTATTCCACGGTCCTATAACAAGAATACATCTTCGTCTTTCCCACGCCGTGGCCAGATACTTGAGGGACAGTGTTCCTATTCATTTCGGCATCATTCCGGGCAGCATCACCTTTCCAAATTTTCTACAAATAGGCATGCGACATCCGATGGCCATATGACTTCAAGTTACTGGTCATCGTCTGGCATCTCAATTGCCCGTTTATGACCATCCTCTTGTTCAGACCTCACACAGTCCATCCCTATCGTAAATCGGGCGAAAGCAAAATAGCGGCGGACTAATTGCCTTTGACGGCCCTTAAAAATACGTTGCCGCTAACAAACATAAATAATTTAGCTCATTTGAATTACATGAACTACAGTCATCCATTATAAAACGAATCTGTATGCGACAGAGCAGGCGAAAATGGCAACGACGCCTAATATACACACAACTAACAATAACACATTGAAACGATAGTAGTTGTGATAAAAGTGAGAAGCACTGCGATTGTCCCTCTTTCATGACGAACGATGGGATTGACGTGCTGCGGTGAATTTTTAACTGACACTATTGTGAATTTTAAGCAGTACATTTAGCAAGTTATTTTCTTGCAAATCAATTTTTCAGTATCTCGCTCTGGTATAAAATAAATATTTTTACACAAAAACTATCTAAGAAAAAATGTGTATTTTCTTGTAATTTGGAAAATAATTTAACTTCTAATAATTTAGTTCTAAATGATACTTTTACAGTATTATTTTTATTGTGCATATTTCTTTGTTATATATTATATTTTTCATATTTTTTATTGTTTTTGTGAAATAAAATTATTACATGCTTTTGAAGATGTATTTTTTTAATTCTTTGAAATATGTAGAATAGGTAGGGAAATATTTTTCATAATTTGGTTTTGGTCGTACCTATATAAAAATTAGTACTTAAGGTTTTCTAAACTTAATCTTGGATATTTATAATTAAAAAATAGTGGATTAAAAATAGGATCAGATTTTAAAAATTATTAAGATTATTTTGAATTACACTGTACAACAGCCAAATAATTTTGTAGCCGCCACTATAAAATTCTTATAGATTTTTGTGAGCTGCGACTGCAGAATGGTACAATTATTCAATAACCCTTTGAATTTATATTAATATTAATACAAAGGACTAAAAAAAAAAATGAAAAACATAACATAAAAAACGCGAGATTCGAACATGCGACTAAAAAAATGTGCGAGATTATGAGACAGGTTTCTTAATCCACCCGCCATTGCTTTCGCTGCAGTAAAGTTTCACGTCTCTGAATATACAGCATCATGGCGTAACATTATTTAATAAATTTTATTTCTTTAACTTTAATATATCATTTGTATCAATTATGAATGTAAATCTATTTAAGATTATAATCATACTTAATTGATATACTGAGAAAAGAAGGCATGCAAATTCGAAACGGAAAGTACTTTTCTAAAGAAATATATCGGTTTTCGATTTTTTAATTACGGCGCACCTCACCGAAAAATCTGAAAAAAATAGAGAATTATAGTTATGCCAACATGTAACTACCACAATAATATTAAAGCAGTGCTCGGACATCTTCAACAAAAAATCGCATTTTTTCGATTTTTTTTTCGGTTTCCAATTTTCTAAAACTGCAATTTGCGTTCAAAAAATCTGAAAAATTCTATAATATGCAGTATGTGGACCTTGATATTTCAGAATTTTTGTACGAAATTTAATAGGAAAAATACACCAAAAATCGGAATTTAGTTTTTTTCCCTTTTACTACCCTCACAGACGAGATAGCGGAGTGAAACTTTGCGTGGGATTTTTTTTATATGCTACCGACTAACGTGCGGGTGTTTCATTTCACGCAATGGCATATTTGACTACCTTATTCGAGACCCTTTTCGAAATCACTAGCAACAACATTTGAATGTTTTAAATGGTGTCAAATGTACAATTTGACCTTAAATATAAAATCAGGGATATCGAAAAATCCTTTGCAATAATTTTCGCAAACATTACTCGTATTTTAATAATTTTAGTAAATTAAATTTGACAAATTGAAAATTAAATTCACCATTTTAAATCGTCAGATTTTTTAAATTTTAACTGCAAATTCCTGATTAGTGATCCAAAAAAAAACCAGTATAAAGTTCTATAATAATCCATAGACAAGAAAGATATACATTTCTAGGAATTAAATGAGAAAAGTTTTTCTAAAATAGTTAGTTGTCCTTTTCGGTAACAAAATCTGTGCATATTGTCCCAACGGTCATTTGTCGTTGCGAGATAATACTGACGTTTAGTGTAAGAAAAGAACAGCATGATCACAGTGCATCCCACTCTAAACACAACTACATGTATCACTTTCGTTTCGTTCATACTTTGCATTACCTTATGTTCAAATGCCTCTAGCCAAACGAGTGTTTGAATGTAGTTATGTTTACGCTTCAGGCGCTGCGCTGTTGCCATTTTCGGATGTGGTCTTGAACACGGGCCTGGTTTTATGTGAACAATTCTATATTTTATAGCGGTCTATATTGTATATTCTATAGTAGTCTATATATTCTATATTCTACACTGCTCAAAAGAAATATGGCATAGAAAAATTTTAGACAAAAATTGGCCAAATTTGACTGATGATAACTCCGTGAAAGATCATCGCAAAGTTATGCTCTTTTTTTTAAATTAAAGCTTGAGATCTCTACTTCAAGACCCTGTAGTTTGATTTTAGATTTGATGCATCCCTACCACAATAACACCGTAAATGTGAGGTCATATTTGCAATATTGAAAATTACTAAGTTTGACGAAATGCATGGACTTGCCACATTTTTTTTTGGTGATACTGTTTACAGCAGCATAAAGTCAAACCTTCATCTTTATTTCCCAGTATGTGAAAAACCGCTACCATTTTTTTCCGCAAAGATACAGAACTTTAAAGAAACCCTTGCATTTATGGCATATACCGTCGGCATTAGCATTACCCGATATGCACCTCGGAGAGGTTGCTGGACAGATTTTGCACATCATATGGCTTTGACAAGAACCTTTTTTTGTGTGTATTTGTGTGTGTAAGTCTTATATTACATCACAATAGGATAACAGAAGAACTGTTGTGAATTTGCAACCAAATCATACAATTTTATATAATTAATATTTCTTATGTATGTAAATAATATTTATATATAAATGTCTGAAGCTAGATGGAAATTTTTGGAGGGCTATAGTTTAGTGACTGTAAGTATAGGGAACAGAATCGTCCGCTTAAAATTAAGGTGATTACCAAAATTTGAAGCATATTCTACAGTATAGAGTATAAAATACATGTTATACATTTTATAGCATTTGTTCCTAAGCTGTAGTTCTTAAACTACACTCATTATCGGGTATCTGCAAAATAATTTTAACATTAACTTTACATCCCTCATCTTTTCGCTTTTATTCATTGTAAGAGCGAATAAACAATTATTAGTGACGATGGCCAGAGTCGTTTTAGGGCTATCGTAAATCAGGGACTTTCGGCGAGGATTGAGACCAAGTTGGTGCGAGATCAGATCACTTTCACCCTCTCACCAAATGATAGTTTGCAGACCATCGAGTTTGTTTTTCCCGAATTTGCGAAGTGGTAACGTGTTCCCAATAAAACCGTTGGGAAATCCTGAGGACAACGCATTATGTTCTGTCTGAAGTATAGCCATTCTTACATCATATAACTTACTTAATCAAAATTCTATAAAATTTTTCTATTTGTTGTCACTTAACCAATTATTAACGTAGCTAAACAATGATTAGTAAAAATATAATTATTTTTATTCAACTGCAAATACGCATGTATCACGACAAACTCAATTGTAAAGACGGAGAGAACAGTACAGATTGTAACGTGTTGACCGTACAAAGTGTAAAGACGGAGTAACCGTACAAAATGTAAAGGCGAAGTCGACTGTGCAATTTGTAAAGACGAAGTGCGGGCCTCTTAATAATTTTCGTTTTACTTGGAATCTCAGAGCATGTGCCACATGCCACCGTTTTCGAGTGCTACCGATCCCGCAGACAGCCAGCCGAAATACGCCGCAAACTAGCTCGCCCCCGTCCGGGTTCTTACCTCTCCTGAGCGGTGTGGTCCTCGGTGTTATGGTAAGCACCACCACTCCCACGCGGATTCTATACCCCCGATGCTACGGTGATGTTTTTCATGCCGAAATACTCATAGTGTTCGACGAAT